TTAAGTAAGCAGCGTTGCCGCCTCCTCCCCGCCGCAGCCCGGCGTGGAGCCCAGCCAGGGGCCGTGGCCGGGGGTGCCCGTGCGGGTCCACGGCCGCTCGGGAGTGGCCGGCGGCGGTGGGACCCGAGGGCAAGGGCTCCGTGCTCCGCACAGCTCAGAGCGTGTTCCTGGGGGTTATCCCGGCGCAGAAAGGGGCAGCCGGGGGGCAGCCGGCTACTCGTGGGTTTAAATGTTCGTAGCAAATATGTCCTCTGTCCTCGGCTCCTGGCGTGCGGCAGGAAACCTGGAAAAGTACAGAGTAGAGCAACTTCTTGCCTCGCTCATGACATTGCACTTCTTATTCGCTACCCAGCAAGGTGCTTATGAACGCATGTCAATAGGTGTATGTTCTTAGGCCGAATATGATTCTGCATCTGTGTTTTTCACGTTAAGTGGAGTGAAGGGACCATTAATCTCCGGGAAGAGGTTAATGCCTACAATCCCGGCTATTTGGGATGACTTTTCCATCAGCAATCCCTGTGCCTTAGGAAGATGGTTCGTAGAAGCAAAAAGGGTCCTCTTACCGCGTTCACTAGCTCACTGAATTGCCCGGTTTGTAGAGGCAATCGTAGGATCGTGTGATCTGGCCGGTTAATTAGCGGATCAGAATCCTTTGAATCCGTGCCTCCGAGGAGAATTCTATCTTTGGTTTCTCCTACCCGTGTTTTGGAAATGGGCAGCGCCGCGGCCTCGCTGCTGTGCAGCCCGGCAGATTGGGGCACAGATTTGTTCTATTCATTTCCCGAAACCGTGCTAGCACTTTAATTTTCTTTCAAATCTTCTCGAGCGTTGGTTTTACGAGATGTTAGAGATCCTTTTTATTGATGATAGCAGGGACTCGCCTTCAAATATCCAAAGGAAATTAAGGTTACACTTATTCCATTCCTTCTTTTTTTTTTTTTTTTTTTCCCGGGGAATCAAATTTTAAAGGTCTCCAGAGACAAATAATATTTTTGACATTGAAAAATACACTCAACCTAATATTACACTCCAGGCGTTGGAAAACAGACTGTTCATGGGATTGCCATTCACTCAAGGAAACCTGTTCAAACAGAGCTTTCTTGTCTATTTTTATTTTTTTGGCACTAAGTGTCTCCAGCCACATCCTGCGGCCCTTAGTGAGGAAAACCCGTCAGTGCAATAGCTTAACATCTCTCGACCAAATCCTGCAGGATAGGGCCTCTCTGCCAGATAGCGTGTTACAAAACTTCCGCAGAAGCTTTTAAATAGGCTTGCACTGCCTTGAGTATTTCAGGGAGAACAGTGTCTAAAATATTTCTACGAGGGCTGTGGAGGCCGTGTAAGCCTTGCCTGGACGGCATCCCCGACCCCTCCTTGCTATTCACATTTCCGAAATAAAACCCCCATATGCAGATATATAAATATATAGATATATTTGCAAGGGCTTGGCCCGCCTCCAGTGATTTCTCGGTATTTACCCGGTGATGAATTTCGAAACTACGTCCTGCCTTTCCGAGCCTTTGTCGGCCGGCGCAGCGGTGGTGCCGGCTGCCCCCGCCGCGGAGCCGTGCGGGGCCATCCTGGCTGCGCCCCCGCCACCCCAGGAGGGAACGGAGGAGGAGCAGCGGCGGGCGTGAGGAGCATTTCCCGAGAGGGTCGGGGAAAGCAGCGGGTTAACTCTGTTTGCTTTCCTTATCGTCCATATTGGTCTATGTTTTGAGCTTGAAGCCCAGGGCGAGGGAAAATAAAACACGACCAGTTACTTGAGCAAAAGGCTTTCCCTCCTGATGTGAGCCCGGGAGGCTGTTCTGCTGCACGGAGCCGTCCTGCCTGCCTGCAGCTGGCCGGGCTTCGGCCTGTTCGGAAGAAATCATGGTTGAAAATCTCTTCAGTTTTAAAGCTTAAATTCTTGGGTTTTTTGGGTTTTTTTTTGGTTTTTTTGTTGCTGTTCTTTTGGTGTTTTGTTTTTGTTTGTTTTTTTTTTTTTTTTAATAATGTCTTCCTCCCTCCCTTCCCCCTTCTCACTCTGTGCAAACCCTTTGGATGCAGAAAATTACAGTTTGGCAAGGTGACGCTTTCCGCTGGGCTAGTGGGAGACAGTTTACAAGCTCAGCGGACCTTAGACCTAAGTGCCAGATGAAGAGGCCTTGGAGGTTGGCAGAGTTTTTAAACCTACTGCACTCCCCTCCGCTCGCTGCTCCCCGGAGCCGGCTCCCCGCCGCCCCCGCTCACGCCGTGCGCACCCCGGAGCGACGGCCACATGGTGATTTCCTTCCCTCTTTTGTGTTTCCTATAGGGAAAACAACGAGAATTCCAACTCCAACAGCCACAATCCGCTCTCGGCGTCAATGAACGGGAATAAGACAGTTCTGGGGAGCTCAGAGGACGAGAAGACGCCGTCAGGAACCCCGGATCACACCTCCTCCAGCCCCGCGCTGCTGCTCAGTTCCAATCCCGGGCTGCAGCCCCTTCACAGCCTGGGCCACCCCCAGGGCCCCAGCGCCATCCCCGTGCCCAGCGCCGATTCCATGCACCACCACAGCTTGCAGGACTCCATTCTCAACCCCATGTCATCTAACTTGGTCGATCTGGGCTCTTAAAACCATGTACACGCTCCCTCCTTCGCGCCAGACCTCCTTTACTCTTTTTTTTTTTTTTTTTTTTTTCCTTAATCTTACGAGGGACTTGGAAAGCAATGACAAACACCTTAATGGATGTATTGTGCCCTTTGGCAGCAGGCTGGCTGCAGGTTTGCAAGGCAGTGGACTCCGCTGCGGGTAGCTGATGTTGTGAAATGCCTTAAGGGTTGCTTACGGGCGTTTTCAGGCGAGTAAGGACTGTTGGAAAGGAGCCGTGATTTCCACGGCAGGCTGTAAGGCTGATCGGTGCAGCAGCTCGTTTCAGCCTTAACTTCACAAATCCCTCAGTGGTGTCACTCGATCGGGCCGGTCTGTGTGGGAAGAGGCACACTGTAATATTTTTATTTTTTTCGGGGGGTGGGGAAGAAAGGGGGAATGCAAGGCTGCTCTTGCCTGTTTGAAAGTTACACATCGCTCCCGTTATTCTATTGTAGTTATGTATCCGTGGCAGATGTACGATGTACAATTTCAACTAAAAATACAAAAGTTGTAGTCAAGATATAGCAGCAACACGCGCTCTAGGCAGACTCTGTAACCTTCTTGTAGCTGATGCTATGCAGAGAGACAGCTTCTTTGGCCTTGTCCATGTGGTGCTTTCGCCATTTGCTGGGTGGGAAAGGAAGTGATGGCCCGGCTCCGGCACGAAGGAAGGCAGAGGTAGATTTTCCCTCGGTGTGCAATGCGGGCTGGAGCGGGCTTTAAAAAGAAAACAGGAATTGCTGCTCAAGTTTAGACCTAAACGACAGTATCAACCGCAAGTCGCTCACCTTAGTTTTGTTTATTGTTTATATTATGTGAATACATTCTTTGGAAAATATTTCTGCTTTTATTTTATAATAAAATTTAGAAATCTAACTCGGAGTATGGCTGCTTCACTGGCCCGCGGGGTGTTTTCGGGCTCAGTCCTGAGCGGAGCAGAGGGGCAGTCCTGGTGGGGACGCCGGGGAAGGCGGTGTCGGGCGGTCAGAGCCCCGCCACCCTGCCCCGCTTGGCCCGGCACGTCGGGGCCCTTGCCGGCCCGGTCCGGGGAAGCTCTGAGCGCCGGGGGCAGCTGCAGTCGTCCTGCGGGAGCGGAGAGCCAAGGGCACGGGGAAGGACGGGCGGTGCGGGCCCTGAGGGAAGCGGAGAGGTCGCCCACCTGCTCCCCGACGGCGCGGCCGTACGGGCTGAGCGCTTTTCTGCCCCGCTGTCCTGCCACGGCAAAAAGCCGCCGGCTCTTCCCCCCGCTCCCACCTCAACCCGAGGGTCCAGCACGGCTGTGTTTGTGCTGCAAACGCCTTTCCGGCGCCTGCGGGATGCTGGGAAAAGGATTTCTTCATTCCACTCCTTTTTCCTTTCTTTCTTTCTTTTTAATTTCCTTTTCTATAAGCACCGAGTGGCAAAAGAGACAGGCAGGTTGCGTGCCAGTCTGCCCCATTGAAAGAGCTCAGGACTCTTGCAGCTTGCACCTTCGCTGTCCGGCTTTGCTAGAAGGCGAATGTGTTAAGTGCTTAAAATGTTCTCAGAACTCGCAAACGGTTTCATACTTCATTTCTGGTCTTCTAAAATCTTCTTTAAAATTATTTTCTTGTGAAAAATAAACCGAGAAAACGATATGACTTCAAGCGGGATAGAAATATGTGTAGATCAGCAAAGATCATGTCCGGGTTTCAGATGCTGGCTGAAATTTCAATCAGTGGGAGTATTGTGTGGGCAGTGTCCTAATTTGATGTAATCTGGGTCTGGATTAGCGCCTCTGCGCGTTTGCGGGTGTCCGCTAAAAGCACATTTCTCTGAGGTCCCTCTGAAAGTGTGTAGAAGGGAATGTATGGATGTCGGTAATGGGGGGGTTCGGTCTCCGGAAAAAAGCTCTCCCTTAGTCGCGGTTATAAATCCAGTTTTCTCGTTATGCTGGGGTGCAGCGGGATGCAATATTTTGTCGGAGACAAGGTGGTGTATTCGGGTTTATGTTTCCCCCGCTTCTGTGGTTTGGGGTGATTTTTTTCAGCAGCAGAGATGATGTGGCTGATGCCTGCGCTGTGGGAGCATACCAGTGGGGCCTTACGTGCACTAGGGTCTAAATAGAAGATCCTATTATTTCCATTGAGAGCCATCTAATAATTTTAGCTATGAATTTTAATTATTTTAAAATAAACATTTTGCAAGTAGATGAACCACTGCTACCTAGAGCTACAGAAGATCTCTGCTCCCCGTAAAATAACACACGCAGTGGTGTAATATGGAAAAGAATTAATTAACTGGCTAGTTAATTATTTTATATTTTTGTAGATAGAAATGAGTTTGGGAAGGAAAACAGAATGTCTGGGTTAATAAAGCCTTCAGGCTTTGTCCGCTAGAGAAAGGAAAAAATGAGAAAGAGTAAAGTCAAGATGGAGAATATCTAAAGAGGCAGCGTGAAAACGGGATGGGGTTTACGTGATTAATAAAAGGTCATATTGCACAGAGGAGGGAGAATTCAACCGGGAAAAGTAAATGAAGCGCTGACACGGTGAGAAAGGCCCTTTGAGAGAATGGGATCTGTGAAAACACGTACATTTCAGTGAGGATCACTTATATATGGATGAATTAAGAGAGGGCAAGTCGCTGAAGCCACTTAAAGATGGTTAGAAACAGAAATCATACAATAAGAAAAAATTCTGCAGGTCAATCTGGCATTAAGGATGCACACAGCTCAAAGATGGGATGTGTGTAATGCAACCTGAAACCCCGAACATGTTAAAACTCATTTTATCAGACCGTACTTGCCTTAGTACTGATGTCTGGTAAATTAGACCAAATCCTTCCAATTTTCCACGCACAAAAAAAATTTCCCGATAGAGGAATATGCCGAAACTGATGTGACTAATCCTTGGTTTTAAACAGATTAGTTATGATTCACTAGCATTAGGTTACATGGGACATATCTCAGGGTTGGTTGTTCCTGGGGTACCCACATCGGTTTTGGGTATAAATAAAAAGACGGTTCTGTTCCGGCAGGTTTTACTGCTGGCTTCCCTCGGACTGAGGCCAGGACGTGGCAGGCAAACTGCACAGCACATCCCCTATAGCTTGGGCAATTTGGGAAGAACCGCACTTTCTGTCTGTCTCATATATGCATGCACACATGCATACCTACGTATACATACACACCCATATATATATATGTATGTATGTGTATATGTAATATATACGTATGCAGTGTTTGACTTCAAAATAAAATCTTACCAAATTACACAATGTATTCAGCACTTGCAGGTCCCAAAATGTAAATGGAGTAATTCCTTTAGATAACAGGGTGCTGAATATTCACGTGTACTAGGGCAGAGGGGTTTTTTTCTGCTGTATTTTATTGTCTGAGCGTTCACAGACATGTGACGAAGACAGCCATGAGAGAAATAGCTCACTTGAGATAGAAAACAGTTCCGTCCTTCCTGACAAGGTGCAATTCGTCACTCTGATTGGGAAATACTGATGGATGCGACGAGAGAGCATCCCGACAGGCTACTGGAGATGTGGCACAATTCCCGGCACTTTTCTGGGGACAGGTAGCAAGTCTATAGGAGGAAGAGCCTTTCCTGTGGACAGGAGACCATATGCCAGAGCTTGCTGGTTGAACACGTTCCATCTGTGAGCCCTTTCCAGGCTCTTGGGGGTAATCAGGATTCTTATCTACAAGGCTGGGTGGCTGCATTTTCCTTTGGATAATATAAGCTATTTTGGAGAGACTCGACATCATCTACACGGGAGAAATCGCCCACTTGGCATATTTTTCTGATCTACCCCGGAGAAAGCTACTTTGCCTCTTCTCCCCAGACCTGGTGCAGCACTCTGGGCCTAACCAATATCTCAGTGTGTCTGAGGGGGCCTGCTGCAGCCCCGGAATGAAAAGTCTTGGGAGTGCCCCTGCCTGCCCAGCGATGTTTGTGTAAGGCACTGGGGCTCCTGTTACCAGACCCGGAAACAAAATCTCTTGCCTTCTTTAGGAGAAACAAATGCAGCCCAGTATGAGCAGGCTTTTGCCTTGAACAAACCCTCACTTGAGCATGACAAATAATGTAGGGGGGTGGCGATGAAAACACTGGGCACTGGCCCTTACTGCAGAGTTCTTTAACTTCTGCTTAGTGAATCAAAACGCTGAGGCTCAGGCAGCCAAGAAAAATATACTGAAGGGAACTTTCAGTGCTTCAGTACACAAGGAAAAGGTGAGGGTTTTGTCTGAAGGAGAGTAGCTCTGGGATTTGGAAAAAATACATAAACCTCAGAGCTGGGCTGCGGGATAACCTTCTTCCTATTTTGCTGCGGGGAGCGGTGCTCAAAGCTTCCCCTCCATGCACCGAGGAGGCGCCTCCTTTCTCGGGAGGTCCATCTCCTTACCATTAAAATAAACAGGAGGCGGGGGGTGTTTATTAGTGTGACTTTGGTTTTTTTCGGGTTTGAGTAAGAACGCTCAATCTCCTGCTCTAAATATCAGATCCGCCTTTATGCAGAGTCCCGGTGTGCAGCTGGCTGGCAAATCAACACCAGCCCAAGCTGCGTAGGAAAAAAAAAACAAACCCTACTTTTAAAAACTCCCCCACT